GAGTCTATCTCATATATTAGTTTCACCTTTTAAGTAGCATTACTGAAATAAATGAACTTTTGCACGATATTCTAATTTTTCGAGTTTCACCTGTAGATACCAATTGCTTTATTAATATTCAGTTCTTTAGTTTACAGTTCTGCCAAATAATGTTATTTATCCTGCTTGCATTTAGAAATAAGATATCAAAGTATCAAGTTGCCAAAAATATTTTCTGAAGTCAATACTAAATATATACAGTATGATTTAACCTTTAAACAATAAATCATGGGAATCTAAAAGTACTAATTCTCCAAAGTATATGGAGAACTCTGTGAAGCAATTAACCTTACCAAACATGCAATAAATATAAAGTTTGCTATTTCAGAGAAGTAGTACAGGTGGTCCTCAACTTACAACCACAATTGAGCCCAAAATTTCTGTTGCTGAGTCATTTGTTAAGCATTTGTTTTGCCCCATTTTGTGACCTTTCTTGACATAGTTGTTAAGTAAATCATTATAGTTAAATTAGTAACATGGTTGTTAAGTAAATCTGGAGTCCACATTGACTTTGCTTGTCAGAAGGTTACAAAAGATGATTGCATGATCCCAAGCAACTATCATAAATATGAGTCAATTGCCAAACATCCCAATTTTGATCATGTGACCATGGGGATGCTGTAATGGTCATAAGCAAGGGAGGGATTCAGCTGCTTTGGATTGGGAAACCGGTTGTTGTGATTTTGCACAGTTCGGAGAACCAGTAAAATCGACCACCGGCTAGCCCCACCCCGCCCTGTCCTATATATTATCTTCCCTTTGCCATGTGGTCTAGACCGTCCAGCTAATCTCCGTGCCTCTCCTCACCAAAGGTAAGCATGCCACCCACTCGCCCTTCACTTCGGGTTGGGGCCAGGAACATGCCATTCTCTGGCTCTGGCCTTGCCCCAGAGCCACTGCCTGCTCACCGCCTGCCTCGGCTGGGTCAGAGAATGCGCCATTCCCTGGCTCCAGCCTTGCCCCGGAGCTGCAGCTCACTCACTGCCCACCTCGCCCAGCCTTGCCCTAGAGCCACCTCCCGCTTGCCGCCCACATTGGCGAGGCCACGCTAAGCTGAAGGGCTGCCGGGGGAAGGCGACGTGGGCACAGGAGGGCTGAAGCGGTTTGGGAACAGACTGAATGGTTCTTACCTGTAAGAAGTCCCATCCGGAAAGCGCTGCAACAGAGATTGTTTCAATGCTGTTGTAACTTCGAATGCTCATTTAATGAACTGTTGTAAAGAGGACTAGCCATAATCTCTTCTCCCCTTATTTTTAAAATAAATATGTATATGATAGACATGTATATGGTTGCCTTGAAGTTCATAATCTAATGTTACATTATTTGAAAAATGTGGCTAGTTGGCTGATCTCTAACCAATGTATGAGAAGCTAGTTAGATGCTATAATTGTAGAGGCTGAGTCTAGAAATTAATGTCTTTTTATCAAAGACTCTATTTTGATTATGGCATCTATGTACAGTTACTTGAAATGAAGTTTCTGCTGGGTGTTTATATATCCACCCTGGAAATGTTCTATGTACAGGGCAAATGTTTCATCTTTTTAAAATCTGAACAATTATTTGGAAAGACAGTGTTGCTCCGTAGAAGAGCAGGAACCCCAGATTCTAATTTTCAACGTCCATCATAGAAGAACATTAGGTTACTTTCGGCAAGTTTCTCTCTCTCACCTTAATGTGCCTCACAGGATTGTTGCTGAGGAGGAGCAAGTATAATATGATGCCTTAAGTACTTGAATTGAAGGCAGGATATAAATATTATAAATAAACTATTATTAAAAATACACAACTATTTGATTAATTAAATCACATTTTAAGGCTCTTTCAAAAAAGCTTGGAAGGCAGGGAAGGCAGCTGTTTTAATACACCACAGAGAATGGTTGTGTTTGTCAAAGTCTGAAGCAATTCTTCACAATAATTTTCAAAATACATTCAATTAAAGTTTATAACATTGGTTTGTGAACTTTGACACAATTATATATCTGTTTATTTCCAAACTATTTCCACTATGTTCAGCAGGATTGATTTCAAATACAAATTAAAATTACTTTAATTGATCTAAATAAATGTGTTGCAAAATATAATTTTAGGACAAGGATCTATGTGTTAATGTGTTCCTCGCAATATATTGCATCCAGCGAAATATAACTAATGTCAAGTATATCTCATTTCATTCTTTCTGATGTCTTAAAATCAACCCATTCTAGAGAATTGAATTGAATACTTTATTTGGCCAAATGTGATTAGGCATACAAGGAATTTGCCTCCGGTACAGAAGCAGTGCACATGCAAAACAACAACAATAAAAGGGGGAGTAAAGAAGATAATAAGGATACATAAA